TTCTCCTGCCTCAGCCTCCTGAGTAGCTGGGATTACAGGCATGCGCCACCATGCCCAGCTAATTTTTTGTATTTTTAGTAGAGACGGGGTTTCACCGTGTTGACCAGGATGGTCTTGATATCTTGACCTCGTGATCCACCCGCCTCGGCCTCCCACAGTGCTGGGATTACAGGCTTGAGCCACCGCGCCCGGCCTGAGATAAGTTCTATCAACCCAGTAGGTATCATCGGGTTTAACTGTTTGTTGACTCCTCATACCTCCCTTCATCTATTACCTCACATCAGTTTCTTTGAAAGGAAAATGTGAAAAAGGTGTCCGCTCTTTCTCAACTTCTCTTTTGTTCTTAATTGAAGCTTCGTTTTTCTGTCGTTCTGCTAAAATAGTCTTGTTTGTGGTCATTAACACCACCCATATTCCTTACTCTAGTAGTCATTTCTCAGCTGAGTTAAGGTTTTTTTTTTTTTTTTTTTTTTTTTATTTATTTTTTTTTTTTTTTTTTTTTTTTTAAGTAGTCCTATTGTCTGAGTTAATCTTGTCATCGGGAATTGACCCAATCCATTACTCCCATTACTTTGTTTTCTTTCCTTTGTTGTTGTTGTTTGTTTTTGTTTGTTTGTTTGTTTGTTTGAGATGGAGTCTGTCACCCAGCCTGGAGTGCAGTGGCGCAATCTTGGCTTACTGCAACCTCTGCCTCCTGCGTTCAAGCAGTTCTTCTGCCCCAGCCTCCCCAGTAGCTGGTATTACAGGTGTGCACCACCATGCCCGGCTAATTTTTGTATTTTTAGTAGAGACAGGGTTTCACCATGTTGGTCAGCCCCTGCACCCAGCTTCGTTACTTTACTTCATATTATTTTATTGTCTCTTTTCCTTTACTGACTTTTCCCCCAAACCCTTATTCTTACCTACATATAAATGTTGGAAGTCTTCCTACTAATGAAGAGGTCTCAATCCTACCTCTTCATTAGTAGCCACTCCGTATGTATTCTCCCTGTTAAGTCCTGTGGCTTTAAGCACCTGAATCCCATTTGTATCTCCAGTCCCCACATAACTCCCAAAATTTTTCCCTTATAATATCTTGGAGGTCTAATAGGGATCTTAGAATTAACATATCCAAAGCTAAATACTGTACAGTAATTGATTGCCTTGTTCCTCACTGGCTTTTCCTTCAATTGACTTTTTTCTCAGTAAATGGCAATGTTCTAGAATTTTGAAACTAGATTGTGTAGATTTGAATCACTGCCATTAATACTCAGTTTTCCATCTGTAAAGTGGGGGTAATGATTCAATAATTTTATGAGGTTTGGATCCTAGGATTTAAATGTAGGTAAAAGTTCTACATAGTTCATTAATAACACTTAATACCAGTTGGCTAGGCCATAAAACGTTTGCTTTATCTAGTCTATTAGTACATTGTAAAGTAAGTATATTCAGAACCTAATCCTCTGTAATACTCTTCTGGTTCTTGTCTAGATTCTTATGGTTTCTTTCTTTCCTTTTTTATGGAAAAGGAGTCTTTTTTTTAATAAAGACCTGGAGTGCAGTGGTATAATCTTGGCTCACTGCAATCTCTGCCTTGGGGTTCAAGCAATTCTTCTGCCTCAGCCTCCCTAGTAGCTGGGACTACAGGTGTGTGCCACTACGCCCAGCTAATTTCTGTATTTTTAGTAGAGACGAGGTTTCACCATGTTGGCCAGGATGGTCTCGATCTCCTGACCTTGTGATCTGCCCACCTTGACCTCCGAAAGTGCTAGGATTACAGGCATGAGTCACCACGCCCCACCAGGCGACCTTTGAAAATTTATTTTTTTGACATAGGGTCTTGCTCTGTTGCTCAGGCTGGAGTGTAGTGGTGTGATCCTAGTTCACTGCAGCCTTGAATTCCTGGGCTCAGACAGTCCTCCTGCCTCAGCCTCCCAAGTAGCTGGGACTACAGGTGAACACCACGATGTCAGCTAATTTTTATATTTTCCTGTAGAGATGCTAGTCTGGAACTCCTGGGCTCAAGTGATCATCCCACCTTGGCCTCCCAAAGTGCTGGGATTGTAGGTAGGAGCCACCTGCCTTAGACTTTATTTCTAACTGGTTTTCTCCCTAATTCTATTCTTGTTCTGTCTTAAAGTCTATTCTAATGTGATGCTACCCTCTCCCTCTTTCCCTTTATTTCCCATATTTCTTCCCCAGCTTACTCTAGCTGGAAAATTTTTCTGTTTCTCAAATATTTTAAGCAACCTTCTTTAAGCTTTGAACTTGTTGCCTCTGCCCTAGAGTGCTTTTTTCCCCCCCTGTATTTTTTTGGGGCTTGCCTTCTTTAAAGTCTTTGCTTCAATTTGACATTGTCCATGTGGTCTTAGCTCACTCTTGTTATAATCAGTGTCTTGAATTGTGCCCAGCAATATTAGGTGCCCAAGTATTGTTGATTGAGTTAAGAAGAGCAATTATCCTTCCAAATAATTTGGTTTCCATTAATGGAACTGCCCCAGATTTTTCTTAAAGCTGTAAGAAACATTAAATGAAGGTCTAATTAACACACAGGAAACCACACATAACTTTAACAATTATGAGTTTTTACATAAATACACCTGTAAACCATTATCACAATCAAGATAATGAGCGTATTCATCACCTCAAAGTTTCCTCATGTGCCTTTGTACTTCATTCCCTCCCCAGCAACCATTAATCTGCTTTCTGTCACTGAAGATGGGTTGCATTTTGTAGAATATTATCTAAATAGAATCATACAGTAAGTACTGTTTTTTGTAGTTATTTTGATTCAGCACAATTATTTTGAGATTCATCCGTTTTACCACATGTATTAATAGTTCATTGTTTTTGTTAGCGAATGACATTTCATTATGTAGATGTATCACAATTTGTCTATCCATTTGGGTTTACAGTTTTTGGCATACAAATAAAGCTGCTGTGAATATTTGTGTACAAGTCTTTGTATGGGCATTCATTTCCATTTTTGCGGTTCATACCTAGGAGTAGAATGGCTATATAATATGGCTGGTATATATCTAACTTTAAGAAACTCCGAAACTGTTTTCTGAAGTGATTGTACCATTACATTCTTTCTAGCAGTGTTTGAGAGTTCTAGTTGCTCTACATCCTCATCATCACTTGAGTCAGTCTTTAACATTTTAACCGTTATAGTTAGTATAACAGTATCTTATTGTGGGTTAATCTGTAGTTTTTTGAGTGACCAGTAATACTGACATCTTTTCATGTGCTTATTTGCCATCCTTGTATCTTTGATGACATGTTTGTTAAAATCTTTGCCCCCTTTGTATTGGATTGGTAATTTTATTGAGTTCTAAGAGTCATGTATTCAAGTCCTTTCTCAGAAGTTTTGCATATATTTTCTCCCAGTTTGGCTTGCTTTGTTTTTAAAACAGTGTTTCAGAAAGCAAACATTCTTCATTTTAGTGGTTTGTCTAGTTTATTGATTTTTTTTCTCTTATTAATTGTGCTTCTTTCATATTTAAGAAGTCTTTGCCAAACCCAAAGTCATTAAGATATTAAGATATTCTCCTGTATATATATATGTTTTTTTTTTTTTTTTTTT